CAGTTTAGCCTCTTTTTCAAAACTAAATAAATGAAATAGAAAAACGATTGCTGGATGCTCAAATACCATCTTAAACAGCTCACATTTGGATATATATGCACATCAGTTCAACCAGTTCGTATTTCACATTTACCTTGACCATGAATGCCAAGCTGGTAACTCACTTTACTGACCAAGGTAAGCAGACATGTACCATTGATCAAGATGTTTAAGCATTTTTGAAAACTATTTCTTATGATTTTGGGGTTTTTTTTGTTTTACCCTCTTTAACTAACTTGTTATAGCTTAAAATTGCAGTAGAATGTGCAGCATCAAAAAAAGAGAAGTTCTACTCTGTTACACTTTTAAAACATAAAAACAGTTAATACCCAAGAAAGTTTGCATTACAGAAGAAAAAAGGATTGAAAAAGGGAATGAGCATAAAGTAGGCAAACATCATATAAATAGCACAATTTATTATACATCATGCTTGTGAGATTGTTTTCTGGTTATGATATAGATGATTTTTCTTAAGTCAAAAACTTTAAAAAGAACCAGTAAAAATGTATAATTTATTTTATGGTGACTTTTCAGGACTATAAATTTCAAACTTATTTTGTGAGATGGCAAGTAAAAAAAGGCAGACTGTTCTCTCCAATGTACAAAGTACTTCTGTAAACCTTCCATCCTCAAATTCTCTTTAAAAAATTGATGAAGGAAAAGAAATTCTGACTTTTTTCTTTTTTTCATCCTCTTTCATTACAAAAGTGCTAGAATACAAATACACTTTCTGAAAAAAGTTTACAATTCCAGAACATTGAAACAATAATACTAATAAATAAAAAAAAAGCCTACAAAACCCAACAAAACCACAAGACAAAAAAACCTCCAAAATAACTATTATTTTCTAAGAAACAGATAAAATTCCTCCTTTTTTTTTTTGTTCTTGTTTTTGTTTTTATTTTGCAGCAAAACACAGCATGCTTTGTTCTGGTATGTGGAAAGTATATACCATTTACCAGTCACCCAGTACAAAAACTAAGATTAATGTATATGTTAGTGTGACTGAAACAAGAACACAGACAAATATACATGCAAAGCATGTCACTCAACTTCAGCCTCCAACTGGATTCCTCATTCTATTAATAATTCTTTTAAAAAGTTATTCTTTTATTACTGGCCTGAGACAAATTCAAGTGAGATTATGCTTCTCAAGGGAAAAGAAGCATTTTCTGAAGGAAACATATAGCTTATCTGAGTATGCTGTAAAATCTGAAGATGTTTGTCCTCTGAGTCACATTAGCACAGTCCAGAGAATTCCACAGTTCCTTCTCTAGTGCCTGTATCACCTGTATACATGAGATTAATACCTGTTTTGTGATATGCTTAAACTTTCTATTACCAGATTTTAGCAGCTCTTAAATTTGGTTGTGATGGTTCTATCTCTTATTAGGCAATTTTAAGCACTCTTCAGTAGCTTTGATTAACTTAAAGACTTTGACAGGTCCTTATGACTCCAGATTTTGATTTCAAACTTCATCTTTTTGACTTTTATGAGTCTCTGTGGTCTAATTCTCCTGTATCATATTGATTTATGGTTTTCTATATTCAGTGAAAACGCCTTCAGCCCTAAGTCTCTGGCCATCCATTTTCATGTATTGAGTGCATTTAAGCTACAGATGCATCTTTAAGATACCATCATGGTTTTTTCTCTGTGGAATATTTATATGTATAAAAAAATTTATCATTATTATTTTATAAAATAATTTGGAAATAACAGTAGGGAACTCTACTGAGTTCTGATAAAAAATATTCAAGCAGCTTGGCTGTTATCTGCTATAAGGCAGATAAAGTCAAGTAACCAACTGATGAGAAACATTCAAAAAGACAAGCACAGGCAGTAGCTGCCTGCTGTGATACTGCAGCCTAGGGGAAATACCATCAAACTAAAAGGAAGAAACACTGTTCATTAAAAATTGTGTGGTATCAATCATTAGGTGGACACAGACAATAGCCATTAATATGGTAAAAGCTGCAAAATAAGGACAGGAAAATAGATTAGGAGTGGCTATACTGCAGTCTTACAGCCAGGTTGCAGATGGGAAAACAGAAGAGGCAGGTTCTCCTAAAAAATTAAATCTGGTCCCCTGATACTGCTGGCAAGCATACTGTAAGACTCTATTTCTTAAGTCTTATAAAAACAGCTGCTGTTGTTGTTTTTTTCCCACAATTCCCTAAAAATGAAGTTCCATAAACAAAGAACTAGCAGAGTTGAAAGGGGTCCCAAGACAGCATTTCATCCATCCTAACCTCTGATGCATCAAAACTTTCTTTCCATTTCAAGAAGAAATGAAGCCTAACATAGTTACTATCTCTTCTTAAATAATAAGTTCTCCAATCCTCAACCCTTTTTTCTTCTCCTCCTCTCCACAGGCGACAGACACTGAACTATTCAGCTGCAACTCATGCTGCTCAAATGTTGTGAAGGTTTCAGAGTTCATCCTCACTGAAGAAGGTAAACCAGAAACCTGGAGAGTCTCTTTATAGTTTAAAGCCATCATTTAATGATTGAGAGAACCAAGCACTTTAAGTTCCTGAGTCTACTCCTAACTATGCCTTTAATTCAAGTGGTAAATGTTTGCCTCATAACATCTTTTACTCCAGACAAAACAAACAGTAGATAGTATGGATTACTACCACTTTCACTACAACACTTCCCAAGATTGTTTTAGATTCTCAAGTACTCAGAGATATTAAAGAAAAAAGTTTTTTGAAAGAAACTAAATTCACTAAATATCTTGCAAAACTTAAGTTGAGTATCACTATAGCCAGTAAAGAATGGAAAACAGTAGTAAGAAGTCACATTAACTTCTCCTTTATTCACAATGATAAAAATTAATAATTCCATCTGTTTAGAAAAATACTTACCTACTACAATAAAACCAAAAATTTGGTTGAAGCAGAAGAACATCCAACAAGTTTCATATTTGCACTCCTCATTCATAAAACTTTATTAATATAAATATTTAAACCTTCAACAATTAAAAGAAGGCATATAAATATATTTGATTTCACTTTCTTCGATTAATGAAACAAACTCTGAGAGAAATAAAGTATTTTTTTTCCAGCTTCACTTAGTGACTACACCCTGCTACAGCTGAAAAGACAGGAATGTCTGAATCAAGACAAGGAACTCAAAGGTTCAAATTCAGTGAAACTTAAACAGAACACAGACTTTATACCACAGCCTAATTTATACACATATACTTTGTCTTGCAAGAACACCAGAGTTTATGGAGGATTTCTACACTGGATAGATTTCAATTGGTGGCAAGTTTTAGCAAGACAACTATGTACTCCAAAGCTTGAAACCAGCAGTGCAATACTTTTCTAATTAATAAAAAATCTCCAGAACATTTCCACAGCTGAACTGTTAACAATTCTGTGGCGCAGCAGAGTATGTGCTAAGACTGTTAATAAATTACAAACTCCAGTACCATTAATCTCAAATTGGTTATAATAAGAAATTTTTACATGAAAGGTTTTCCTACTTTCCTCATAGAGCTTTCCAAGCAAATTAGAACCACATACTTTTGATTTAAGACCATGGGAAGATCCTCTGCAAAATAAAATGCTGCTATATTTCACAAACATTATTATAGGATAAATAGGAACAAGTGAGGGAGAAAACCATCATATTGTGCTCTTTTCGGTGAGAGTCAGGAAGGTTTAACACCAGATCTAGACCATATGTCTGCTTTTTTGATGTACCATGAGAAGAGGCAAATATTTTGGAAAACTTGATAGAATTCTAATTTATTGGGTTAATTCCTAAAGTTTAACTGAAATAAAAGAGCAAGTCTCTTGGATGTTTTTAATTTACTTAAAATGCAATTCTATTATCAGAATAAATTTTTAAAAGAGAACAAATCCTGGGAAAATGCACAAAACCATCAAATTAGAAAAAGGTAATAAATTATCCTTTCTTTAGCATTGAATTACAGCCAGTCTAACAAACAGACCACAGATTATGACAAACCTCATAATTAGGCCTCTCTGAAATTAAGACATGCAAAAAGTGGTTTCATAGTAAAAAGAAAAAAAAAATTCCTCTTTGCCTACCTACCTCTATTCAGATATAAGAAAAATCCCCTACATGTTTTCCCATATGTTTCTCTTAATATACTGGGTACCAATAAAGCACTTCTGCTCATTCAAATCATCCCACTGTAAATTCAAAGCCTGCCAGCTGCTAGGCTGCTGCTGTGCTGAGATCACTGTTAATCAGTATCACCTCAGCACTCTCCTGCTGCTTCCATGCATCCACTGATTGGCTCCTTATGTATTTAGACGGGAAACTTAGCTTTTTCTCTGCTGTACAGAATGGTATACTAGAGTCCTGGGCTCATAGCTAGGGTTCCTATGCTCTCTGATGGGAAAAATAAAAAAAAAAACCCACTCTAAACCTGCAACAACACATCTACATCTGCACCAACCTTGCCTCAAGAAGCTTAAATTCTAGATGATAACTGTGAAAAAGTTGAATTATATATATTTCTGATTGATAAATTGTGTGGATTTCAGCACACACAAGAAACATAGAGACAAAAACAGTCTGGTGACTACTCATGTTAGGGGTAGAGCTTATAGACATACACAGATGCTTTATGGGCATTTATAGAGCATTAGTGTTAGGACAGGTGGAAATAGCTTCAAGTTTTGCCAGAGGAGGTTTAGATTGGATATTAGGAAAAATTTCTGCACTGAAAAGGTTATCAGGTACTGGAATACAGTGGCCAGAGTAGTGTGAGTCACCATCCCTGCAGGCATTTAAAACACACATAGATGAGGCACTGGGGAATATGGTTCAATGGAGGAGTTGCCAGAGCTGGGTTAATGGTTGGACCTGATAACCTTAGAGGCCCTTCCAAACTTAAATGATTTTATGATTCTATGACATAGAGACATCTGTGGCACATGGCCATAGATATTTGATGAAGAGAAAGCTGAAGATTGCTTACCACGCTGCAGCCAGGACAGTCAGGGCCATTCTCACAAGTCCTGCGCCGTGCCTGGATCCCTCCTCCACACTGAGCTGTGCAGCGCTCCCATGGCCCCCAGCCTGTCCAAAACACATGAGGGGGGCACAACAAATGCTCATTGCAGTACCTGCGAGAAGAGAAATAAGGAGGCAAAGAATCTATTTATTATGAGAACAAGACCTTCCCCAAAACCTCCCACATTTGCATAATTTAGATAGCTATTTGTATAGGGAAATATTTTATACAAAGGGTTTCTCCCTACTCATTAAGCACCTCACTAACAGTTGCAACACTGCACACGCTGTCTAAACATTTGAGTAGGTTTTTTTTCGGTTGCAGTTGTGTGGGTGTAGCATTTGTTTGCTTTATTCAGTGACTTTAAATGTTCCATGTGATGCAGCCACGCGATTGTACTGTGGTCACGTAAGCAAGATTGCAAACTACTTTATTAAAACCAGTTGGGGCTATGCCTCCGTGGCAGTCAACTAAACAGAAGGCAAACATTCATGCAGGCAGTCTTTTATCAGTCTCCAGCTAAGAATTGATTAGGATCTATCTCTTTCATCTTCAGATAGCTACACTTGCTTTTCATAGCATTTCTGCTTCTATGGACAATATAAGAGCTACAACATTGATTCTAGGCATAAAGAACTGCACTTGTTGATAATGTTACTACTTTATCTTTTAAAGGGTGTTTTTAGCTATTATAATCTTTGAAAGATTTTCCTGTAGGCTGCAAACTGATTCAGAGACCTAGTAGGTTCTTGAGGGAAGCACTATTGAGTTGTCATTTTTGTACCAATACATTCAGAAGGAATGTGGGAAGATCCCAGGTTCAGCTGAGTTTTTTCAATTTTGGTAGAAGCCTTAGATTCCTGATTTTTTTGAGTGTGCCATCCAATGATTCTAGCCATAGCATGTGCTGCTTTTTAAGGAAGCTCTACGCAGGTCCAAAGGATTTGGGCCAGCAGCCAGTGTGACTAGGGCTCTCTAAGAGACCAAACTCTTACCTAGATAAAGCAAACACGCACCATAGTTAGGAAACAGACAACTCTAAAGAAATTCCCTGATATTTTATGGATGCATCTGGGTAGCTCTTGTTACAATACTGAGTGTCCTGAATGAACAAATCAATCTGATACAGTATTTCCTCAGTTTTTACACCATTTATCCAAAATCCAATGTCTTATTGCCCTTCTAACGAGTTTTCATCTCTTAGCACTCTTCTATAGTCAAAACTGACTCTAATACTCCAGGTATTAATTTTCTACAAAAAGAGAAATGACAGTATGAACAGTTGTCATTTTCAACAAGAATAACAACAACAGGTTTTTTGCTAGTATTCAGAAAGCCCCAATATCTGCAAGCTCTAATTCTTCATTATCCTTCATTATAAGGAATTTGAACATTTGGAACTCTGTGGAGGGCAAAAAAATAATGTTGGTGGTGTAAGTAACATAAAAAAGTAGATTTATTGCACATGCTGGAGCCTAAAATTCAAACTTTGTCCCTAGGTCTGGGCAACTCCATCAAAATCTAAAGATTGGGAGTGAGGTTAATAGGGGAGTGACATTTAGTTTTCTGCTTCTGTAGAGTTAAGAAAATTATTCACAGCTTGTATTGACCTTTCCTCTGGAAACTGAGGAAAAAATGCCCAAACCCTCAATATTTATGAATCTGGTGTCAGAATTCTTCAGTGCATGATTTAGGTAAACACATTACAGTTCACATTATATTAAAGATACATAGGAATGTTCTGTGCCTGAATATTCTTCACCTAGAATGCCAGCTGCACACTTTCTTTGTCACATGCAGTCATTTATGTGAATGTGTGTAATAGTTTCTTCTAGATAATTTGTTGAGAATGTATGGTCAATAAAATATAGATGTAACATCAGCATTTATTTAGTCAAATTAGTACAAACTTTGCATAATTTCAGTTCTTAATGAGGATGTGTTAAGTTAATTTGGGAGATACACTGAGGCTGAAGCAAATCTGCCATGAAGTTGAAAATTACCTATATTCAGGCATGAAGGAGTAAAATTAAGGAACTTGTCTTGCCTTAAAATAAAGGCAGCTACAGTTTAGCTATCTAAAAATGAAGTAGTCATCTAACTTGAGGAACAGCTGATGGAAAGAAACAGCCCAGTAAAAAATATGATTTATGTCACCCTAAAGCAAAGGTCATTTAAATACACCCCTAAATGTACAGATTGATTTCCTTGGACTATAAATGCTGCATGGGAGACAGACATCTAAGCGGCCATTAAAGGCAACGGAAATCTTGTCAATACAAACTAGGGAGACTAGAATGATTGATTTGAAGAAGTTAAGGAATATAGAGCAGAAGGACACAAATTACTGTTCTCCACAGCCTGTATTGACTAAATTCCTACAGACCACAGTGGAAGTTTAGACACCTGACTCACACATAAACATTCACTCTCGTGAACCCCTGAAGTTAGGTATGACAGATCTCACTTCGAGGACAGTCATGCCACTATGCAGTGGCTCTTTCAGTGCCTATGTGCCTCACCTCCCACTCTCTCACTTCAGCAGGAGACAGAAAAGAAACCTAATAACAATGACCCTTCACAGAAAGCACTTCAAAGGGCTGGCAATTCTGTTATCCAACACTAATTAAAAATGCAGCTGAAAAGATGCCCTAAAATCTCTATGCAAACTACTTCAATTTAGAAAACAGTTTTGGTTTTTGTTTGCTTTTTTTTTTTTTTTAATAGTCAACACTGTCAATTTTTCATTTTTTTTTTTCAGGAAGACAAAAAAAAAATAAAAAAGAGAACAAAACCAAAAACCAACACAGCATATAAGTAGAATCTTATTTTTATTTCAATCAGCCAGCCTCTGAAAACATCAGGTATGTTTTCACAGCTAGAGACATCCTTGCAATTGATCTTTGAGAACTGTGCTACAGCATGGGGCTTTGAGCCAAGTTTCATTATATCTGTTCTTGGCTGCATTTCAAGTCACTCAGCAACCCTTTTTCCCTTTTGCTCTTTCTTCCCCTCTTAATTTTGTTCTCAGGACCCACAGGGCTAACGTTTTACAGTAATCCAACAAAACATGCAATGCAAGAAGCTTGAATCTGTGAAAGCACTGCCCTCTCCCCTAACCTAACTGCAGGAAGGTCAGAATGGAGAACAGCCTAGAGAAATGTGGGTTTTCTACAGTGACCCTTCACATTTCCCTTGAAGTGGGCCCAAGTTCAAATGCCCTAATAAAGGAATTGTCATACTGGGGGAAGGGTGAACCTCCTCTGTCCAGTTGTGTCCACAGCTATTAGTGCCTACAGCAAATTTTACAGCTACAACTTCATTGCAACTAACATTACTGTTCTTGTTTCTATAAAGATCTCAACCTTTAGTAAGACATCAATTTATTCAATTATTTCAGTGCTGCTATCCAGCACTGAGTATTATGGGCTAACTGCATGACAGTTACAAGTGTGCCCTTTTTATTCCACAGAGAGATGTTATTTGGAAGGTGACATGTGCTCCCAGGGGCTTCTGTGGAAGAGAGGGAGCAGAGAAAGCAAGGAGGGTGGGAAAAGACATTTCCCAGAAGACGAGACATCCAGGGGAGTGTAAGCAAGCCTAAAGCCTTGTGGTGTTAAAGCTGCTCTGCTGAAGTGGACTGGCCTTGTTCACACTGCTCAGAAACAAGCAGTGCTACACAGGGCAGGCACTTGACTCTCAGCAGCTCCTCTTTCTCATGGAAACAAGTCCAAAAGCTGAATGTTTGCTCAGATCATGTACAAAATAATGCAACAATATGTCCTGCTTCTAATTGTTTTATACATGCCAAAATATCTAGGGCTTTCAAACATTTACTCCTTGTCTGCAGCCAATTTACTTTTCTAATTGCCATGTTTTTTTCCTATTCTTTCCTGTGTAATAAAAGATAAGTGCATCCACTGAAAGCAAGGAATTCACATTTTAATGTCCCTTATTTCTTCATAAAGAGGAGGGGGACCAGTGGACTTAATGAGGCCATATCTCCAGCATCTTCCACAGAAAGGCCAAACATTCTCACCCCGTGATAATGTCAAGAAAGGATATTACAGACTCTATAAACTAAGATCTAGAGAATTTCCAGCAGCTTCAGTGAATATTTCTTATACAGGAAAAATCAGAAAAATTAAGCCCCTAAGGAATTGATCAAGATGTCTTCCATCTGGAGTCTTAACTACAAAATTATTCTTTTATTAGCAAATTTTGTTACAATGTTATTTTTACTCCGTCTCCATATTCTGTCTACATGCACATCAGCTGCACTTTTGACCTACTTCTACAAGGGGAATTTGCTTTGTAATACAAGTATTTGCTGTTATCTCTCAACTGCTTTCCCCCCTTCCCATGCACCCCTTTAGCAGCAGAGCATGAAACAGTTTAACCTATCTTCAATGCTTTAAATTGGCAAATATTGCCCTTGATTTCAAGGGAATGGCCAGCGAGCACAGAGCTGCCTGATACATTAGCCATGATAGGATCATGGCTTTCATGAGCTAAAACAAATATATCCTAGACAAACATTTAGGTCTTAACACATGAACAAATACTCTCAAGCTGAATATGGATCCAGATCTGAAAGTAAATTTACCTCAGATATATGCTGCCTTTTTTGTGTTTGCTCTCTATGGAGTTATGTACTGGATTTCTACTGAAATCACTCTTTGTTGAAAAGCTGTTTCAAAGTTTGGCACATTGATGGCTGTGGAAACTGAATCCTATATTTATACCCCTGAACATGTGAAGGTGATTAGAGTATGCACATTTAAAAAGACAAATGCACTCAATGTGTAAACCAACTAATTCAAATTTTTTAACTAATACAAAATATATTTTCATTTTACATATGAGCTGAGTCATCAAAAAAGTAAATTATTAGGCTATTTATAAACAGTTGATTTAAATAAGAAAATCTGAGAAGTTGCTTCTTGGCACTTTGGATACAAAAATAGTAAATGTTTCTCAGGAGTTACTGCACATGTAATGTTTGCTCAGCCTGCCTAAATGTTATGGGGTCAAAGGAACTGCTTCCATTTGGTTCTGATGTAACTCAATGAGAGTGAAAGAGTGAAATAATACTACTGTAAATTCTGGTACTCCAGTGCCCTCACAGCTCAAAACTCTCCACAAGCTGGCAGAGCCATGAGGACACTCATAAAACTCTAATGGCCCCAACCAGCTTCCCCTGGGTCCTCCACCCACAGCAATGGGCCAAGGAGCTCTATTTAACCTGATTCTAACCCTGGCCTGTGGTTTAGCTTCCTACCTGGACTTCAGACTTCTCTCATTGTCATGTGTCACTAGGCTCTAGACTCTTGGTTGGGTCTGGTCACAATCTCCAGGCTTGCCCTGCTCCCCTCCTGCGGGAGATGGGATGGGCCCTGGCTGGCGAATATCCCAGGACCTTCTGCTTTTTACAGCTCTGAAAAGATTTCTCCAAGTACTTGGCTTAACACTGACAAAAATCTTGGCAAATAACTGAGGCCTCATTCCACTAGCTGCTTTACAAATTATTTGACAAAATTTCCTAACTTACCACACCCTCTGGAAAAAAATGAAAGGCACTTAAAAATAATTAAAAGTATCAGGACATAACATGGATAATAAACAAAACAAAGGAGGAGGCAGGAAGGTTAAATGTGAGCAAGCTGTGAGGGAGAAAAGTGAAGGGCTATTGGGAGTGAAGGGTGTTTCAAAGAGGCAGGAAACAGTGACAGAAGAACTCTGAGAGAAAAAGGCATCCTGCAGTAAACTCACAGGCACATTCATCCCAGGTTGCTGCGGAACTAGATGGAGATAGAAACGACAAATAAGCTGCAGGCTACAAAAGCAAAGCAACATAAGCTTATTGTTCCTTTAGAACTGTTGCATACCAAAATTCAACCCTTGTGGACTGCTGTTATTTGAACTCATCATAAGTCACTTTCCAGTTTGTAACTGCTTTTACAGTGCACCCATTGCTGTAATGCTCATATAATTAAGAAAGTATTTCTCAAGGTTTTCTTTATTTCTTATCAAACTTTATGCTCTGTTAAACTAAAATGAACAATTACTATAAACATCTACAGTCCATCACCCCAAAGTCTCTCCAAACTGAACTATTTTTTTTTCTATGTTTAATCTTGTGTCCTGCCCTGGATTGACCTCTCAAAATCAATAACTGTTATTCATGCTGGGACAGAGCTAAATAACAGCAGATACAATCTATGTTTGATGGTGATGGCTTTCTGGTTGGGCAACCTATTTTCAGAAAGCAATTTACAAAAGAACAAAATCCTCTCCTACAGAATGAAATGGTAAATATTCATGGCCTTGAAACAGTGAGAAAAGTTCACACATTCTGTGATACTGATCCTTTACATCTAGGAGTTAGAAAGACCAGGTCCCTGGTGATCCATTAATACATAAATGTGTGATGCAACCTTGCTTCAATGAATCTTTTAATCTGAAGAAATGCTAGAGTTGGTGTTTAATTAAATGTCTCACTGAAACTCTTCATAAAGGTTATTGACTTTAGTTTACACCCAGCAGCAATACAGGATACTACATCATCCATAAAGAAACACTGAAGTAAGCTGTAAGTGCATATTGGAAGGAAACATATCTGCATACATCTCTTGGAACAGATGGCTACAGGACTCCAGATTTTGACACCAATGCTAGTCTTCTGCTATCTAGCTTTCTGGTATTCCTCTGGAAACAACATAATGCATGCAAGAGTTGCAGTTTATCTGAATATATTCTAGCTTGATTTAAAGAAATATTTAATTCCTGTTAAAACCACAAACACAAAAATTAGAGATGCATGTAGGGTCCACATAAATTAGAAATGTAATTAGGGTGCATGTAAAATAGAATTAAAGACCTGAACTTGACATTCTGAGCTAGTGACAAAATACTTAGTCTGGTGCCAAAAAAGTACATGGTGAAACCAAAATCTGAGCTGACTTGATCTGCTCAGGTGTTAAAAAATAGATACAAACAATTAAAATAACCCACCAAGCTTGAAACCTTTCTAAAGATATTTGAGTTCAAGGTGTATTATATTTATTGAATAGAAAACAAAGCCCTTGAAACCTCCTTCTATGTTATAGAAATGCTTAATTTATTTACAACAGAAAATATGAACTCACAGCATCAGTAACATAGTGCTGTGACCTTATTATGTTTTGTTCTGAATTCCAGGTCTTGAGGCTGGATAAGTTACAATTCAAACACAGTGCAATCAATTTTCAAGGAGAATCAATTTTCAGGGTCTCAAGGGACAGCAGCACGTTGCTTCAGCCCAATTGTCTGGCACTACCAGGAGCTCTCAGGTGGCTCAGGAGGAATGAAGAGAAGCAAAAGATGAAAGATCTGCTGCAGACCCACAGCCTCGTTAATGGGAATACTGCACTGTACAGCAGTGAAGTTAAAGAGAGAGTGAAAGGAAAGGGAAGGGAAAACCAAGGCAAATAAAGGAGAAAAATGTCCTGTGGAATACAACTGCATGGAAGAAATTAAAACAGACCATAGAAAAAAGATAACTCACCTCTCCTCACGATTCTGTCCCACACAGACGCGCCCTCCATGCCGAGGGGTTGGATTGCTGCAGGAACGCTGACGAACTTGAAAGCCTATTCCACAAGTGGTGCTACAAGGTGACCAAGAAGTCCATGGTGTCCAGCCTCCATTTCTGGTAGAATAAAAAGCTCAGGCTCTGTCATCTGTTATACATAGCGAATGGCTGATTAGGTGTGACTGACAGCAGAATCTGGCCTACTAATATTTCTGTAGAAGTCATTAATACTGCATCGTGTTCCATTTCTTCAAAAATACCGAACCAAAATAAAGGTGCTATGATATTCCATATTGCATGCTTTGCAATGAATTTGCTTATGCTGTTAGCAATGGCTAAAATTACTTCCTTACACAAGAATTACAAAGAAATGAAGATATTTAGTTGCTTTTGGTCACTTTGTTCTGGGTAAACTACATATGCAAACTCCTGGATCAATGTTCTGAAGCTAACTTTAAATTATGTATCACTTTCAGGGAGATTAAAATGTCAAATTTTGCTGCCTTGTCTGAAAAGAAAGTGATTAAATCCTGGAGGAAAAGGTAATATACACCATCTACCATATACATATATATGGTAATATATACCATATACCATAATGAGGTGGGGGTTGGTTTCTTCTGTCAGGCATTGATCTCTTGATTTTAACAAGGGACAGAATGAGAGGAAGTGGCACCATGTTGTTTCAGGAGAGATTTAGATTGGATATGAGGAAAAATGCCTTCACCAAAAGGGTTGTCAAGCATTGGAGCACGTTGTCCAGGGAAGTAGTGGAGTCACCATCCCTGGAGGCATTAAAAGATTTGGAAATGTTGTACTTGGGGATATGGTTTAGTGGTGGACTAGGAAGTGCTTATTAATGGTTAGACTCAATCTGAAGTGTCTCTTCCAGTCTAAATGACTCTATGACATTAAAATGCAAAAAGCATTAAAATGCATTAGTTCTCAATTTCAATTAGTTCTAATTTTCAGTTCATTCTCAATTTCAATTTCAGGTTATTCTGATAAGATGTCAATACCTTGCCTGCAATTTAACAAAAAAGCTAAGGGAGTTCACACACTTGTATGTACCTTGCATATGTGAAATTTTTGAAAGGACTCCTGCGTGCCTCCTCCCTTCCCCCCACCAAAAAAAAAATCCTAGAAAAAATATCACAGACCAAAAATCTGAAAAGGAATTCCATATCCTGTACTAGGTGAAAAAAAAATTATAATTATGCACTTCAGCTTTATCCAAAGCTTTAAATGGCTAGTTTTTTGCAGTTTTTGTATTGGTAGAACACAAACAAATAAAGAAAAATAAAACTAAACTAAATTGATCTTTTGATGTTCCATCATAAAAGCAAAAGTTAAAACATTGCCTTACTAATATAGCAGTTCTAACATAAGTAAGGCATTAAAACAGTAGTGTAATAATGCCAAAGGTAGAATGCAAATGCAGTCCCAAATCACATTCCAAATTCCCTTCTAAACCTGACAGCTGTTGTTTCATTGTTCAGTATCTCACAGCATGTTTATCTTTTCTATCATTCTCCTGACCTGATGCTATATACTATTAGATTTTTGGTAATTCTCCTAAAATAGACTATTTTCACTTACACAGCTTGCAGTTACCTTGTGCAGAAATGAAATCAGTTTTATTCACTATCATGAAGTGATTGTGATGTTGAAAAAAAAATAAGAAAAAAGCCCAGAAAGAATCACTGAAAATAAGCAGAATGGACCAATATATGTTTCATCTTGCAATTAAAGTATGTATAATAAATGTGTAATACTATTTAAAAATGAACTTCTGATGCAGTCCCAAATATGTGATGTTCTGAGTCTCTTTAAAATTATCTGCTCTCACTGATTTGCTCTGGGAGTGGTCAAGTTCCTGAGGAAGACAAAACAATGGCTAAAGAGTTCTATACAGACTGATAATAGAACTTGCTATCGTGATACAACTGAAAGATACAATGAAAACATTTTTTATTTCTCTGGGCAGAACGGGGGACTAAAATGGTAATATGAGACCTCCAAAAAAGAAAGGCATTCTAACTTGCAGAAAAGCAACTTCTTTTATTTACAGAACTGAGAAAAAGATCATACTTTGGATATTATCTAACATGGATTTTTTTTTTCTTTCCGAGCTTTTGTTAAAATTATCTGAGGACAACATTATTTGGTACACAGCATTTGAAATGAACCCTGTGTTCTCTGACTCATTCTCTCTCCTACAAAGTCTGAGAGAAACTTTCTAATGTCCCATTTGCCCTTTCATGCACAGAATCAGTAGATTTAAGGGTAGACTGTATTCTGATTAAGTTTAAAAGTTTTAAACCACAAATGATAGAACGTGAAATTGTCTTGCATACCTGGAACAGTTGGCAATCTCCATGGTTGGCCCTTCACACAGCCATCCTCCACACTGAGGAGCAGGACTGTCACACACGCGCGTCCTGCAGAGGCAGGAGCCAACGCTGGCCCCGTCAGTGTGGGTGCAAGGCTTCCACTGTGACCATGTCCCAAAGTGTCCATCCACTGTCAGATTCCTCATCTAGAAACAAACACAACAGAAAAGCTTACCTGAGGCTTGGCAGCTCCTTCACAGAACCCCTTTATTGTGCTGTGCATGAAGGTTTAGCCTTCAGCCACCAAAAATAGCAATCTCCACTGGAGAGACACACCTTCCATACCTTCCATCCATGAGCAACCTCCCCTCATAATTCCTATAGCTGCATAATTTCCACAACTTCTGACCAATCTGAGGCACTGGATAGCCTCAGCAATAGCAATAACAGAAATCACAACTGTTACCTTTCACAACTATGCTTGCCTACCTCTTGATTGTCTTCTGTAATCCCTGCTTCCTGAAATTTTCCAGTGAAAATGGAACCTGGAGACTAACTGTAAAAACCAAGATCAAAAGGAAGAGCCAGCAGAGGATAAGGAGAAATGAAGAAGAAATTCTCTATGAGGATGATGAGACACTGGAACAGGTTTCCCATGAGAAACTGTGGATGCCCAATCCATGGAAGTGTTCAAGGCCAGGTCGGATGGGGCTTTGAGCAACATGGTCTAGTGGAAGGTGTTCCTGCCCTTGGCAAGGGGGATTCAAACTAAATTATCTTTCAGTTTCCTTCCAATGAAACAATTCTAAACACAGATGCTGAAGGGTAACAAGACTGGGATGATCAAACTGAAATCTCCATGATGAGTATCTTTTTTTTGGAAACAGATTTTTTTTTTCCCATCCTTTTTATAAGGATGAAAAGTGGTTTTAAATATGACAGTCTCTAAATGTTATATGAAATTCTATGTATAAATCCTAGAAACATCTCCAAAAATCAGCACCTAACCCTACATGATGAAACAGTTTGCTCCCACAGAATTCAATTCTCAAACCCTTTGGCTGGAAGGTTCAGACCATTCATCTTGACTGGAATGTTTCCATCAAGCAGCTGTAACACATTTAATATGAAATCTTCATTGCCCAGATGAAAAAAAAAATAGCTAGAAAATGAGTTTTTCTAAAGAAATGGGGCAGGATGTGGTAAAATCAGCTCCCAGACAAAGCAAATTTTCATAATATTCTTTTATCAAGGTGTTAATCTTGACAAATCTGTGATTCTAAATTGAAATTATGGCCAGTTTAAACTTAAATATTAATGAATTTGCCTTTTGTTTGCTTCATGCTAACTTTGAGTCAAAACAACAGCACAAACAAGTGCAAGCAGCTTTTAAATTCACTCTTAGAATAAATATGAATCACTTGTAGTCATGCATTTTTCATACGATGTGCGAGAACATAACACTTTAATATTTGCTTACATACTGAAACAGGAATTACAGTTGCAGACTGTCAAAACTGATCTGAAATTGTATCTTCCTTTAGTATTTTTAGTATTTTAGCAGTGGCGAGAGAAGTGTACATGGCACAAATACTTTGAAGATACAAGATATTCAATTAGAACATAAAGCATGTTTCCACTGACACTCTGGATGTTGGCTGCTTCTTTCCACTGTGGCAATGATATCATAATTTCACTACTAATTACAATTCTCACATTTATTTTTCACAATATTCCCTTGTGCAAGAACAGCTATGTGTATATTCTGTCAGCTACAACCGACATAACCATAATTAATAATTTCAGAATCTGTTGACAGCTATTTATTGAAAATAACTCACCAACCTTTGCTCATGTAGAGTTTACATGGATGGGTTTTGTAAGACAACAAGAAATACTTCCTTTTAAGTGACAAGCAGAGTTATTCTCTCTTACACTGCTGGTCTAACAAATATTTATAGTCCATAAACTAACAATTCTATGTCCCCCATGTAATTATGTCAGAGATGTGAAAATGCCTTTGCTGTTTTCTGTTTCTGTGCTGCATCAAAACATCTTTATTGTTGCACCTACAGTTTTAAACTAAAGCCTGTCTATGGTTACACAAGCTAACAGCTGTCTGTGTTTACCATAATACATATTAAGTGGCAGAGAAGTATACATAAAACATAGCTGAAAGCTTGAACTCAGAAAGAAAAATTGATGACACATTCTCTCTCTTCATTATTTTTCCTTGGTCATGAAAAGATCATCCCACTGGGGTCTCTGCTGCTCCCCATGACTCACCTGCTCTGTCTCTCTGCGAACATCCTTTTTTCAGAAGTGATATCAAACAATTTCATCATATGACTGCAGGAAAGCAAAATGTACCAATGAGGGGCCTTTGCAGCCCTCAGCAGAATCCATGCCCATTAACTTTTCACCATCTGACACCTCAAGGGCAAAATCATAGTCAATGACAATCACATCTTGGTATGGCTGCACTCTGCTTTCCCTCTCTACCACCCTGGTTCTGTCATCTTTTCTCTTCTGCAGATAGCTTTGGACCTTTCTTCCTTCTTAATGTCTTCCAAATATCCACCTTTGCCTGAAGTCTCTCTGCACACACCTCATATTCCTGCTTGTGCCTCTGCACTCTGAGTAAAGGTCACAGCTTTTAACTCTGTCAAGAGGTCTTTGGTTTGAGATTACTTTTGGTAGAATTTAGTGAATCTGCAGAGTTTCCTGAAGCTCCTAATGAATTCAGATCCCATGCTACACTTTCCCCAGGAAGAACTGTAAAAATAAAGCCATTTCATGTTGCATACTTCTGTTAAACAAACAAACAAACAAACCCAAAATCCTGAAAACCTTTCTTAAATTTTTTTTTTTTTTACTTTCCTTGTAAAAGCTCCTAGATATTTTTAAGGGATGGATTGCAAGTTGTCCCACTGGAAAATATTTAAAAAAAATAATGAACCTTCATTGCCCCACAAATTATTGGATGAATAATAGGGATAAATGACAAACTGGAAAGAGATCAAATGTGCCATAGCATTAATTAGTGCCCATATTTATGTTATACACAATTGCTGTACTCATGCCAACTGAAACAACAACCTAAAAATCAAATTGAGAATTAAATCAGAGCAAGAAAACCAAAATAACTACATTTTTCAAAACTGATCTTCAAAGTCCAGAGATGGCAGCAAGATACTCATCTATCTCTCCCTTTCAACTCTCTCTTCTGTCATGACATGCCTATAAGTACTCAGCAATATGAATAATTCTGTAGGAAATAATTTCTTCAAGGAAACTGATCACACTTTTTATTCTGGACTAAACTATTGTATAAACAGACCTCTCTCTGATCCAATTTTAGAAGAAACTGGTCATTCATTAATCTAAAAAAACCTACCATTTTAAAAAGATACGAGTAATTTTGCTAACAATTAAGATATTGGAAGCAGTTGGGACCAAAAAAAGGAAAATAGGTTTCGAATATTCTGTTATTTTCTGCTTGCAACAGTGTCTTGAATATATCTAGCACATGTTAAGGATGCACATAGCTCAGTTGCCTACAAAAATTAAATTAATTACATCTTGGCTTATATATCCTGTGAGCACAGCACAAAAAAATGCTATAAAAACAAATATTTGAAAGCCTCACTAAGCAAAATTGTAATTGATTACAGTTTGCCAGAATACTGTGTTACTTCAGAGGAAAGTTTCTGTGAAGTTTTCCAAACTGTTCAACAATGTGGTACTTAGTGTATGAGGCTTTAAAAAAGTAAAGGTATAAACCCACTCTGTTCAATTTAGACAGTTCTAAAATCTTCCATATATTATTCAAGTTCAATCTGCTGAAGGACAAAATTTCTTTGCAGTTTCACCAGGTCTTTGAATCTCAGATCAGCAGGATAAGTCTCACAGCTATAGAAAAATTTCTAAGCAAGACTTAGGTGCTCCCCTGCTTTGACTAGACTGCCATATCCTGTGCACATGTCATATAATAGATACTAAATAATTGTTTTTCCAGTTGAATGGAACAGAATGGAATTATGCTTTCTAAATTATTCCTCCCTCCACCCCATCTTGGCCTTGGTTTCTATATCTACAAAAGAAAATAAGGCCTAGTGCCACAATTCAAAGACTGAGCACATGAGCAGGCTGACTGTCCATGCAAATAACAAAATAAGGCATTTCAATAATCATAGTATTTTCCCCAAAGTTGTTCCTGATTTCAGCTCAAATGCTAATGCAGATGAATCCAACACAGCCCTATTTTATTAGTCCTCTCTATGAGAAGGTGGAAGCAAATGACAGAACATGACACAAACATTTCTTAAAATTTTGGAAAAAAATGTTTTAAAAATTGCTATTTAACATCAAACATAGTCAGAACACAGGTGCACATTCTCAAGGCCCTCAGAATCAGTGTAGTGTGTGTATCTGTGAGGCTGCTGCAACACATGAGGAGAGCACAAGTCAGAGCTGAAATAACTTTATATTGATTTTGCACATCTCTAGTTCACTAACAAAGCCCAGCTTAGGAGAGAGAAGTGTCATCAAGATGTTAAAGGGAGCTTGCAAACACATGGAAATAAGAATATGAATGCAATGTGAGCATAAGTTTATAGATGCATGTGCTTCACTGGTGAGTGGGGACAAGATCAAGAAGTCCTTACTAGGAATGAAAGTAGAACTGAGTTAGAATGGGCAGAAGGACAAAGCAGCAAGGGTCTCAAAAAAAAAAAAAAAATCTCAATAGCACAAAAACCCCTCTTTTTGCATGCTTTTGAGCACGGGAAACGAATGAATATTAAAATAACCAGAATAAATTTTAAAACAAGAGATACATATAAAGTTCGTTGGTGTTTTTTATATTATATTGAATTTATTCAAAATATTTTTTTTAAAGAGAAGTGTTAAGCCACTGTAAATATGAACCTTGCATTTATAGTAATTATCATCTCTGTTGTTAACGTGTGTGAGCCTTAACTCATGGCAATCAGCTTTCCAATTTGTGGACTTTAGAAGATGTTATTTGGCTTTTTATATTACCAAAAATAATCCTAAAAGAAAAAATTTTACTATTAGTGATTAAACTTTTTCAAAGGACATAATGGAGAAAAATTCAGCAGGGAAAAATATGTCAATATCACTAATCTTAGAAAACATTTGTTTTCAAGGTGGGAAAATAGACATTACAGATAAAAAACAACCACTCTTTGAAATTACTCTAAATAACTTTATCACAGAAGTAGTTTAATAGGAAATAGAAAAGAAACTAGGTATTCTGCTAAAATCTGATGGGAAAACCAAAGGAAAATGACATTAAATGCAGTTTTCTGAGCTTGAAAAATCGATGCCAGCTCATTTTCATGAAATTCACATGGAATCAAAGGTTTCAAGAGACAAATGAATGCATTTGGACTTACTGGACACACGGTAATGCTTTGCTCCCACTGACTCATGCTCAGACTCTCTTCCAGTGTTGTGCATTTCTTCATCACCATGTCCCAGCCACAATAAGGGTCTTGGGATCCAATGCATGCACTGTGGATGAAAACCAATCAGATAACCAGGACATTTATTTCATTTGTACTGACCAAAGACTTCTAAATAACTATGCAGCATCTCTTGGTACTTCATAGGAAGATAGTGAAATTAATCCCTGTTGTGATATGGCACAGACAAAATTACAAAAATCAGAGGAAAAATTAATTTGAATGCCTATACAAAGCTAGGATTTATTTTAAGTGCATAGCTGAATTTCTGTCTGCATGCATGGTATGCTGTCTTGACTGATTGCTGTACTTAATTACTAGAGAATTACAGAAATTCATACAGAGAGTATATTGACTGCCCCAAGTAAAAATTTCAAGAGGTTACAGTTCTTAGTCTTTTCTGTTAGTTTTGGAATTGTAGATATCATCTTTTTCAGAAATTAGAGGACAGTGTCTGCTCTCTGAAATCAATTAGAAAACTTTCTGATCTGTTTTCTGCACTTGTATAAAATTTCTGGAAGTTAGTTCAAAGGGGCACTGGTGGCAGCCATCACACCTCTTACATACCACATGCTGTACTCAACACTCTCTCTTAAGGGCACATGAGGAGGGAAAGAAATGGATCACAGAGAAGGATGGTAGTCCAGTTTAATACAGACTCTGAAACGTCCACTGTAGAAAACTAGAAGTTCATTTATCTAATAAATAGCAGGCTTCTCTTGCTAAGGTCTAGCGTTAACATTCCAGGCAATAGGTCTGCAGCTTCATAGCTAAAGATCCGTAAGAGAGGAGGGGGAACACCCATTATAGTGAAGCACAATATAATTGGTTTAACACTTGTAAAAATACCTGTAAAATACACATAAAAAATAATACATTTAAACATTTTTTCTAGATTGTAAAAAATGTTAAGACTGATCATTTTTGTTCAACTCAAATCCATGGGCGTTATCCTTCTCTCTTTAATTATCTGTTCCCATCACATCTGTTGACTGAAGGGTCCCAGAGATGATTAAACAACTGGAGCACCTCTCCAGTGAGGAGAGGCTGAGAGAGCTGGGAGAGCTGTTGAGCCTAGAGAAGAGAAGGCTCATAGAGAATCCCATCAATATGTACAAAACCCTAAAGGGAGAACGCAAAGAAGAGGATCCAGGGTATTTAGTGGTACCCAGTGATAGGATCAGAGACAATGGGCACCAACTGAAACACAGGAGCCTTCAACATCAGAAGACACTGTTGCAGAAAGAGTGACTGACCAATGGCACAGATAGCCCAGTGAGCTTCTGGAATCTCCTTCCTTGTAGATATTCCAAAGCCACCCTGACACGTCCCTGAAAAACTGGTTCTAGGAGGCCCAGCAAGCACTGGACCAGATGACCATCAGAGACCCCTGCCAATTTCAAGTGTTCTGTGGTTCTGTCCCAACTAATTTATGTGTTTTATTTATATTTCTACTTATCTCTGGCACTCTTCATGTACTTCCATGTTAACATCTGACCAAATGCAGACTTACTAATTCCCTGGAGTGTTATTCCAAAATACCATAATTATAAATTTCAAATAATTCACTTCCACATTCCACTGGGCAATGTGGATTACCAGTACCATGTGGGAGCATAGTACTGGTAATACACAGCATCTGCAAACATAGCATCATGTAAGAGTCATAACAGTCAAAATGGGTATGGATACCCTTAATCAGGATTCCAGCCCAAAGATAAAGCTTCTTTTTTAGGGAATTTGCTGTTCAGAAGAGAGTTCCCACTGTTGGCTCCTGCAGCTGTGAGCACTTAGCGTTTCTGTAACTCAGGCTACACATTTCCATTTAACTATCTAGAAAGTGAGAATGAACACTATTGCAAATTACGGAAAGTTTAAAGTGTCTTGGTCTTCCAGAGTTTGCAAGACGTGATGCACAGTATTCTCCTTCTGAGTATCTCTGATAAAGCATGTGTTTGATGAGAAAATAACACAAAAACAAATTCAAGGCTGACAATGCACAACTGGCAATGTTAGCAATGGTAGCACTGAAATGACAATGAGTGCCTCAAAGCTGAAGTGGTCAATTTTCTAACTTCAAAGTGTTCATATTTATAAACTCAGTTATTATGCTTTAGAAACTTTTTATTAAAAACAAAAATATTTCAAAGTCTTTTGAAATACACTCTTTCTTAGAACCATACTCCCTCTTTAGTGGGAGTAAGCTGGTCCTTCTCCCACTCTGGTCTTAGACCCCATTTCCTCTTTTGCCTTTGTTTTCACTTTACTACAATTCAAACAAATCAAAAAGACTTGCAACTTTCATTATAAGTCACTCAGAAGTTTTAAGAAAGGTGCTTGAAACATATTTTGACTGTCCTTATAATTTTCTGGTATCAGAACAGATCCTAGTTCCATGAAGAATAGCAAGTTCTTGTACTGCTATGACAAAGAATGTTTGATCACTCTGTGAACACTGAGTGGGGTTTTTTTAGTAGCTGACCAGGTTTGGACCACACTGCAGCAAGGTACAATGAGGTGAATCTTTTCAGAATTTAGTTAAAAAGATCCACTGAGCACATGAAAATTATCATTTTAAGAAGTTAGTAACTCAGCTAACCTCATGCAGATGACAAGAGGAATAACTTCCTCCACAAATCAGAGGCATTACTATTCTTCAATCATGGTTTTCTTTACACTACAATACAGAAATTAATCCTCTAAACATATGAACTATTTCAAACAATGCAACAAGAAATATTTTCAGAGAAATATTCCTCACATGAGAAACTCTAGTTTTGCTGAGATTTTTTTCACTAATGTACTAATTATTTGTCCCAGACATTATTATATTTAAGTCTCATATTGTAAAAAGTTTCAGTTTTTAAATCTTATATCCAAACAGAAAAAAAAAAAAACCCTAGAAAACTGTAATTCAGTATCATCAACCTCCTTCAGTTCACTGTGTCAGACATATTCAGGAGATGTGGCAGGACTTGACTTAAATAGCTGCCCTGTTCTCAGGTATTGGCACAACAATTCTTCTCTGTTCTCCACCCTGCCTCACATCTCAGAGAGTTTTCTTATTTCTTTTTTTTCAGATTGCCTATATCTCTGAAAAGCGGACATAGTTTCTTTCAAATTTCAAAGAGGGAGGTAATATGAGGGTAAGGTTTTATCTTTACTGCCTAATTATGTCACCTTTTAAAACCATTTTCTTTTTTTTGAGGGATGATTCCTTTGATTTAATGTGTGAGTAACAGGAGCTAATTATTTTTATCTCCTATGCCTAGATAAAACAGAGAAACAGATAAAAAAATAAGTTAACAGATAAAAAAACAGAAATAATAAAGCTTGTAAGTATAAAAAAAATCAGAACTTATATCTGAAATGGGAAATTTAAAGGGACTTAATTTGCAGTTAAGTGTCCTTAGGAAAATTTCATACTGTTTTAAATCTTTTTTCATGTACCTCTCTCCCAAGAGACAGCAGTAAGAGGAACAGCTTCAATGTGTACATGAAATAACAAAAGAAACTATAGAACGTGGCTGTCAAATTTATGTCAATTTTATGTAACTAAGGAACGTCAAAAATCAGATAGCACTACACATCTTTATCTCCTTTTCCTCCCAAATCTCTGTCTAAATTAAAGTCATTTTAGGTGCCACTATTGAAAAACTACATAACTTTTAAAGTAGGTATTAGGTATTTCATTTGACAGGGCCCTTTCAGACTGTCACATGGCAAATAGCAGAGCTGAATAATATATTTTGTCATCTTGTCTCTAGAAGTATACCTTACATCTCAGTTTCAGCAGAGAATGAATGTTTTGTCTGTTAATCCCAGTAGGCACCAGCCCACATCTCTAAGACTTCATATGATTTGTCCCAGCACTGCTAAAACCGGCACTTTTGTCCAGGAAGGAAATTCAGGAATTAAATTAAACTGGATCATTTGAAGAATTTTGATGCCACTTACCCTATCAAGTCAGCAATCTCTGCAAGAACATTCAACAGCCTTTGCCTTCTCCTGACTGATGCTAATTTTGCTCTGTGTTGTCACATTTTTTTACCAAATGTAAATGATAGGTAGCAGAGTGTGTCTCCTGCAAGGCACACATTTGGCAGTGGTGCTACACCTTAGCAATGGGTTTTGACTGACTACTAACCATAAGCCACCTCACTCTAAAGCAAGTCAGTAAAAGTCAGGTTATTCTTCAGCTATTTTATAATTATCATCAAGTAGGCCAGAAAAATTGTCCTACTTCAGTTATATTTGAGATGATTTATTGAGTCAGAAAATAAGGCAGAATTGAATACAATTCAGAGCAAAATATGATAAAAATCTCATGGACTTTTAGACTAAAAAGATTTTATATGTGTTCCAAAGAACAAAAAAAACCCCTAAATTTAAAAGCTGTATCATAATACCATTAATTTCAAGGGATTTTAAAATTTCCTTTGATGGGAAGAGTACATTGCCATATGAATATGAAAGTATTAATCAGGTATCCTCTGAGAGCTGTAACATTTTATTCATACAATACATATAAATGCAAGTGGTGCATCTTCTAAGACTGTTCAAGAAACATTTTTCTGTTTTTACCTATACACAGCATTTCAAAGAACTGAGTCTCCTGACCCTTTCAATAATTTCTACTTAAATATCCATGCCTACATAGTCCCCATTACCACTAAATGTGACCTGACACTTTGCATATCAGGAACTGAACCAGGGTCATCATCTTATTTTGCAGAAGACAGGTTCATCACTGCAAATTCAAACAGAAAACTGAAGCTATAAGCCTGTCTCATGCTCCAGATGCAGAGTTCTATCCATTGCTGAATGAATACATGAATGTGATACCAGACAAAGGTACCTATCAGTGTTTTCATTACTACTGATTTTGCAGCTGTATACATATATATGTGTGTGCAATGAAGAACGGGCATCTAAAGACACAGATGAATGATCCAGAAGATAAATGGTAGGGACATAACTTATAAAATCCCAGGTAGCTCAAGCTAACATGCATGTCAAATATTCAGAATACTGCTTACCTGAATTCAG